GGTGGGTGTGGGTGTGGGTGTCGGTGGGTGTGGGTGTAGGTGTCGGTGGGTGTGGGTGTAGGTGTCGGTGGGTGTGGGTGTAGGTGTCGGTGGGTGTGGGTGTGGGCCTGGGTGTTGGATCTTTCCTCTTTTCATTTACACCTGTAACCACACCCACACCCACACCCACTCCCTCAATATTAAATTTTGTCACACCATCGTTTGAATTGAGCACTTCTGTGTCATTTTACTCCATAAGAAATAAATAAAAATCCATTTAATTTTCACAAACTTCCCGATAATGCTTCATTAACTGTATCTCAATATGTGTCACTATTTAACCAATTGTCGAATCGACAAAAGACATAACCATTCCACCAAATAAAACCAACTAAACTTACAAGTGCTCGAGAAGATGATATTTCTTTCTTCGGTGTTGATTTTTCTCGTTTACACGAAAAACTCTGTTGTGTACTTCTTAATCCCACATAACATTCATCTTCAGAAATATATTTCCTGATGTTGGTCAAGTGATGTAATGCAGCAAATTGATATCGATTTTGTTCATTTGTATTGTTAGTCTTAACTTTAATAACAGACTTACGAGGACGATAACCGAGAGATAAACGATAACATTGTATCGCGCGTTCGGTAGTATTGAAGTTTTTGAGTGATAATAATTCAGCAGCGGTAGCTAATCAGTTTTGTTGTATAGTTTGATCAAGTTCTTTAATCTGTGTTGAATCGAGTGCAGGTGGACGACCAACATTATATCTATCTGTATAATTTACCCCATTATGGCGCCCATAATAATTGATGACATCGTATATTGTAGCACGGCGACACTTGAAGGAACGTGCTATTTTTGAGATATTTATAGAACCTTTTTTCCACTTGCAGATGATATACCGGCGTTGTTCTTCAGTTAATCTATATATTTTCAATGAAATCATGGAGCAAAACAAATAGGGAGCAAAAACAAAATATACAAAAGTAAATATGCAACAAACCGACCATTAACTAGATTTTTATTTCTGTTATAAATATCTATTCTTGTACTATTCATATATATCAAAGAAAATTTCTTCTAACTGCAAACTCTATCTTTTACAGCAAAAGCCAGGTGTACGGTTAATTTTGTCGCTGGTAGTTTTGTTGTAGAGCGGCTTGCAGAAAAGAGGGAGGGTATATACTAATTTGTTGGTTTGATTTGCTGAGTTTCTATCACTTGCTAGGTTGCCAATAAGAGATTTATCATATTGCCTATGCCTGATGCATCGCTGTAAATGCTAGATCTTTTTCGATTGAGGATGAACTATCATGCATTTGTTCAGATTTTCACTTATAGATGCAAATTTGGCAATAAACTTGTTAAATATATAACATTTAATTCGCTCTTTTGTGCATGTGAGGCAAATGACAGTAAAAGCATTATCGATTATCGTTTTAGTATATTCAATGGCGTTATTAGAGTGAAAATACTTTTATTAAAATTATGAAAACTCGTTATATCGGGTAACTGATTCATCTACATATCAAACTCAAACCATCAACATTAATAAAAATACTTTACATTTCTATTGTTTTGGATACAGAGTATTCATGTTTCGTAGATATAAACAATCGAAAAAGTTAAGAAGATATTTAGCGGTTCAAAACTAAACAAAAATAGATATAAAAGCGATTTTTGCCTTCCGATTTCGGCGGCCCAAAGTTTCAAACATTTTTCTTACTAACGGCAGCGCAGCAGCGGCTGCGACTTAGCCGCAAGGCTTACACCTCTAAACGTGAAGCTTTATTTCATTTTTGATAATAGTTATAGACCTGTGTCATGTGAAGAACAATATATTGGTATATAAGGGAAAAAGCTATTAAACATTTTCAACTTATGAATGATCGTGTTTATGATAAAGTTCTAGAATAATTTTTAAAAAAAACCAAGCCAAATAATTTCTTTTTTTTCTTTGACTTTTATATTTATAATCGAATTTAAATATTTTGTAGATATTGATTTTTGTATATTCAAGAAAAGAAACTAATAAAATAGCACGAGTTATTGGTGATATTTATTTAGAAGAGGATACATTTGAAGCATATCTTAAAGAAGATTCAACTTTACAAGAAGTTCGTCGAATAGAAATTAAATAAACAAAGAGTTTAGAATTAAAAGATCTATTTTCATAAATGATTTACTATTTATTATATTGATATGAATCATGTTGAGCGTACATTAATTAAAGATCTTTTTTTGCTAAACAATATATAAAAGTACTTGTATCACTAGCTATACTTGTTTAGTATGTTAATTTGCCAGTTAACACGATTATTATTAAACCTACACAAGTTTATAATCCAGAAAAAAGCCATTGGAAAGAATTAGATGCATTCGATGTTATGCAAGTAAAAGAGGTTTTTTAATTGCATTGAAATGTAATATTACTATATCGAATTTTATATAGATGCTCGATCATGTTGGTCGTCCATGATATGCTACCTGTGATCAAGATATTTTAATTACAAATAACAGAGGATTAAAATATTATTGATCATTAATGAATCGAATCAACAAGTAAGTTATAGGATAAAAAAAATTGAAATGAATGTCTAAATTTTGATAATGGAACGGAAGACTTCTAATCGAATTTAACTGAAGTAATTTTGACCTAGAGAAGTTCAGCACTTTATTGCCTTTCGTCTTTCTCTTGGGTATCTATAAAAATGCAGATATTCCTAAAACTACAAAAAAGAAGGGAACGTATTTATCTTGACTTTAATTGTAAAACAACTTATATAATTAAAAGGCAATGTAACTATGAGTATTGTTTGAATGTTCACAGCTTTTGCAGATTTCCTTCGATTTAACCATTAATTAGAAGTTCATTTTTCTTTCAAAACCGATCGAAATAAAAGTTTATAAAATCTTGATGTTCAGAATTTTTTGACAAAATTTTCATATATTAATATTCGTGAAGTAGCTGAATGGTTTTATTTATATGTTCGTATAATAAAAGAACCACAAAGTATATGAAATAGCAAATCAACCATTTTTTTGTTGATAAAATATCTTCTTCAACAATATTTATATTTAATGTATTCAGCAGCTCTATATCATTAGATAAATGTCATTGAATACATTATGATGATGAAACAAATAATTTTCAAGTAATTGGACGTAGTCTTATATTAAAGTCATTATTATTATACACATGAAACAATTACCATGTATAATCAATTATTATAACCAACATTCAGTGAAACAGATTTATTTTGTATGTTTTAATTATCACAAGAGTTTTGTCATAATAATTGTATGAGAAGAAGAAAAAATTGAATTGCAAAAATTGCTTGAATGTATATCAATATCGATTCAAAAAATATTGATGAAACACATGAAAAAATGCATGTTCTTTTACAAGCAAATATATCACAAAGTGTTGATTGATTAATGAGAACTATTTATGAAATGGTTTTAAAACGTGAATGGACACAATTAGTTGATAAAACTAAGTTTATCAAAAATGATTGATAAGCGAACGTAAGAAAGAAAAAAAAAAGTTTTTTGTTTTATTATTAGATTCTTTAGTTTTTTTTTTTTTTTTGTTAGATGGCAATATGTGTTCATTAAGGCAATATAAAAAAATCTGAGAAGAAATTAGTCGAAAATTTGAAAAGAAAAATATATCTTTGGATAGATTTTATGATTTAGATGCACATGAAATCGGTCAGAATGAAAGACTTGAGTTTTCTTTCCTGTTTTAATATCTATTTAGATTTTCTTTTCTCTTAGGTGAGTTTATTTGTGCACCAAGATCTAAAAAAATAATATATAAATATGTTCATCAGGTACTTAAATTAAAATTAGATGCACATTTTTCACTAATAACCAGATCAACATTAAAAATTGAATTAGCTATAGCAATAGATTTTCAATAGAATGATAAAATTCATGAAATAGCTAAAGTAAGTTTATAGTCATATAAAAAAAGAAAAAGAAATTTTTTTCTTATACTCTTTTTTGGATTTAAGTTGAAGGTGCTGATTCAGAAATTTTACTTAATCATGAATATTTTCCTCTTAAAAAGTAACAGTTAAGACTTATTATCATTTATGAGGGAATGGAAACAGAATTATTTTTCTATAATATGATAATAAGTATTAAAATGGTAAAATCTTCTACGAAAAAAAAAGGATGGGTGGGTGTGGGTGTGGGTGTGGGTGGGTGTGGGTGTGGGTGTGGGTGTGGGTGTGTGGCTGTGTGGGTGTGTGGGTGTGGGTGTGGGTGTGGGTGTGGGTGTGGGTGTGGGTGTGAGTGTGTGGGTGTGAGTGTGTGGGTGTGAGTGTGGGTGAGGGTGTGAATGTGGGTGTTGGCAAGGTCTAAGAGAAAAAACTACACCCTCACATCAACACTGTCGTAC